TTTGTTCCATTTGGAAAAAACGACGGCCGTATTAATACACTCCGAAATATCCGCCCGTATTTCTTTCTCGTCCGCCATTCGGATTCTCCGCATAAAATTCCATTTAAAAGTAATATTTAAATTATTCTTCATTCATTTTTGCTTTGATAGTACCAAATGACACTTTTTATGTTTACTTTTTTCTTTTGGGTAACACTGGAGGACGAAAAAAAGGAATGAGAAAAAATTTAACATTTATAACGCGCACCAAAGACAATTATTTGCTTCGTAAGGATATTTGTTGATACAGCAATAATTACAAAGATAAAGATAGCTTTATTTCCATAAGACTTGAGTTACAAGTGTTGGATATTGTCAGTACAATACGAATATAAAAATATAAAATTATCTTGGTATAATTAATTAATTAATAATAATAAAAATAATTAATAATGTTACAAAAATAACAAATATGTAAACAATAACAAAGAACGAATACGTATTAGAAGGTATCACAAGAAGCAAGAAAATCCTTAATTTTGTTTGACTATCTCCTTCAGTTCGATAGGCAATTTATTATAAATTTGTACGGTCAAACCAAAAAGACTATTTGATGTAAGAGACAGTCGATGTGTCGGAATTTTTATGTTAAGATTCGGTCTTAAATTGCACTGAATATCTGAGTTCCTCGAGAGCATATAAAGATTAGAGTTGCTTTTTATATAAGTGGCACAATTTACTATGTACATACTAGGAAGTGTCAATAAAGGGTGTTGCGGAAATAAAATTAAACAGTATAGTCAGCAAAATGCGTTTCATAAAGATTTGCTCCGCACGTGGGGAACCTCCCCAACAAACCAAGGCGTAGTTGAGCCAGGAATAGACATACGAAAAATAGTACATTTTTAACAACGGGAAAGAAACCTGATGGCGGAGCCTCCATATGACAGAATGAGTAAACAGAAAGTTTTTTGAGAATGAGATACACCTGTTCGAACCAACACTTTTCTGTTGGATTATGCTTTCAGTGAAGCGTACTAATAAACTCTTATTTAAATCCTATGTTGAAAAGGTGATCGTCTTAGTTTTACTTTCATTAGAATCAATTTATTACTTTCGGCATAATGATTCATTTGCTCAACAGTTTCTTGGTTGCTCAGACGAAGCTGGTAGAAACTGCATTATCCGGAAAAAAGGGAAAAGTAAGTATGGGGAAAAGATGAAATTTATAAACACTATGAATAATAAAGGATCGAGTAAACTTCCCTGAGGTACACCGCAATTCGCTGACCTGGAGTCAGAGACGTATTCAAATACTAAGGTATCCCGCAACTGCGTACGAACCCCAAACTAACCAAAACGAACCAATTTAAGGTGTTGTCCCTAATGCCATATGAACAAAGCACTAAAATGTCAACATCGACCAAGTCAAATGCTCTTTGGAGAACACATGCTGTTTGCTGCCTTTCTTCTAACTTTCCACGAAGATGCTTATATAAAGAGAGACTGGCATCCGGCGTTGATCGCTTTTTTCGTGAACCAATTCCGAGGATAATAAACCTAATGCGGTTTGAAGCAAACAAGTTCTGCTACCAGAGGCAGCTAGCCGCACCAAGGAGCCACGAAGCTGTGGAGATAGAGTAGATAAAAGTATGGATGGAGTCACACAATATTATCCACTTGGTGGTTCAAATAATTTAAAGAGCTAAGCCGTAAGTGCGGCACGTAAACTACTGACTTTTACCATCGATGAAAATCTGAAATGCTAAACTGACGGGGGTATTTTCTCTAGGGAGCGATACATAACGTTTCACGAAGCTGCGATAAGCTAATCGCAGCGTTTTTTTCTAAAAAAAAATGAGATATCAACGGAGAGAAATGGACGGCGTAGAAAAAAAACGCAACCTCACGATCGTGTAATGCGAAATCCTCTGCAAATGTCGAAAATATGTTGTTCCGAAGATGCAAGTCATTTTACTGATGGACGACTACGACAATGCCTTGTGACTTTTACCTAATTGGATTTGAGCTGTGTTGCAAAGTCTCAGTGAAATAAATTAATCGGAGTCGTGAAGCGAGACAGAACGAGAGGATTAGGGGGCGAAACATCAAAATATCCACGAAACGTCATTAATTACCGCGGACGAATTAAACAATTCGTATAGTATCTAGTTCCGGGCATAATTTGTTTCGTTACATGAAATTGTCGTGTTGATACGTTTTGTTTGTTGCCACCGTACACTTCAATCATTGTCCCGCTATGTTTGACCACATTTTGAATATAAATGGCGCGCAAATATTTCGCTCGGACCTGTCGAGCAAATCTTTCTGCGGTCTATTCTCGTTATACATGCAAAAGGGCAACATAAAGGCCGATACATGGTTTTGAGTCGCAAAAAAAAGGTCATAAACCAAACTTTATTGAAAACCAATCGACTTTTTATCGATATTTGGAAGAAATGATATTGAAGCGTCAATATGGCTTTAGAAACATCAATCTAATCAAATTCAAACGTGAAATTTGATCTGCTTGCTCTTCAAACACCTAAATAATAAAAATGTATTTTTTTGTCCAATTTGCATTTTTTTATCTTATTTTTTCCCTATTTTTCTCTTTTTCCTTCTAGGATTGATTATTGGCATTTTTTTCTTCATTCTTACATTTTATTATAATAAATATAGTTTATATAATTCTTGCAACTGGTTAAGCGAAATTAGTCGTAAGTCATAATTATTAATTAAAATTTTCCACATTCAAAAACTCTTTATACAAAATTTTATCAGTTTCTGAAATGAGACGACATTTCTAACATTCTAATCTGAAATCTAATATCTACGTGATTAATACAACTAAAGCCTTGATTTTCTTCTGCTGTAAATCGATTATAGGTCGTGCGGTTTCAAAAATTTTATAAAATCAATAAATTACAGCCAAGTAAAATGGGATATGGACGACTTTAATAAAAATATCAACCTTCCCTGACCAACATAAGTATTTTCAGAATAATAATACAAGTGTTCTTGGGAAAAAATGTTTTGATCTGGCTGAAACATGGTCGACGTTTTCGTTTAAAATTTCGTAGAATTAAAATTTAAGTTGAATTTTTAAAATTTTTGCTGTTTTAATATGTCACAGGATCGGAATAGTACCTGGGATGAAAGTACGGTACAAATTGACTGGGTATTCCGTCTGGTGGACAGACAGTGACCGAGCAAAGAGATAGTAACGCAGCAGACTATGATATTCAAACACAACCTCGGCCTTACCAATACTGAAAAGATTGTGACAGCTGAAGCATAAAAAACCTTCCGTTACTTTCTTATTGCCAGAAATGCCAACTGAACAATTCTATCGATGATTGCCGGCTGGGAAAATTATTATAGGTGCTAAAAAAACTCATTACCTGTCTATGCAAATGCAATTTTTTTAGGCAACCGCACATTTAAAAGTTTTGCATGCGATTTGAAAAAAAAAAGACGCACGGATTTAACGCAGCCCTTAATGAGATCCTATTTGCGAAACAAATTTCTAACCGAATTGATAATGCGACCCATCCGAACAACACCTGTGTAAATTCAGAATCAAAGAAAAAAAAGTGGCCAAAAAACGTTTAGGGAAACTGCGATCCCTTCGAAAAAGTTGACAAAAAAAGCGCCCAAAAATTGCCTACAATTCACCGTAGATGTAAAGTGAAAGGGTAAAAATTCAATACGGCAGGTAGGTATAAACCACTTCGGGGGTTTTTTGTCCCCCTCACTTTCGAAGCAGGTTGTATACAATAAAAGTATAAGCGCAACGGCTGGAAGTTAACTATTGCATATATGTATTTATGCGTAAGTCAAGGCAGGTTATTTTTTTTTCGTGGTAGAACGAAAAATGGCATCTTCAAAACAATTATTTCGCTTACAATGAAACAGGTTAGGCAAAATTACGGTTATTGGAGTTTGCTTTTTCAGGCATCCGTTGTACGGCATAAATTGTCATACATCTAAACAATGACTTCGCACTTTTGACTTCTTGATGACTAACTATCACAGTATTCACAGTTTCACGCAGTTCAATAAGTTGTATAAATGTCACTTTAGTCACAGAGCAAAGCGAGAATACATTCCCTGGCCGAAGTGGCTCGCGACCGTAGGTAAAGAAATTGATGCTTTAAAGTCACACTTCCCTTACACTTTTTACAGTAGATAACAGAAAAGCAATATTATTTATATCAAATTTTCACGACATGATGTCGAGGCTACATCATCTTCATCCTATTCTTTTTTATCCTGTTTTTCCGAATTTTTGGGCGGATCGGAAAATATTGATCTGTATCGAAAAATTTCGTGGGTAGGGATATTGGTTTTATATTTTTTAAATGCAT